AGTTCATCCGGAGACCACACCTCAAACAGGCAGGAAGGGCCCGGCACCTGGCCACCGGTGAGATCCTGGGAACAGTGGAAAGAAACTGGGTCCTGCTGACAGGTGGGGCCTTCCAGAGCACAGCAGAAACAGGGGAAACTGGAGATGCTGCCCAGAATGGACAGCCAGGTGCAGACCACAGGTTCTTCTAGGAGTCGTTTCTAGTTCCCAGAAGACGATGCCCTCAACTTGCCAAGGAAGGAGTGAGGTTCGGGCTCCCTGCCCATTCTGTTACACCACCAGGAATTCTCGGTTCCCACCAGAAACGTTCCTCCTCGAGGATGTATGAGAAACCAGAGAGAATCAGCGGAGTAATGCCCAGGCCAGAAAGCTCAAGGACAGGAACCTCTAGGCTGGCACTGCAGACCGCACAGCAAGCTGTCCGTGGGTTACTCAATTGCAGACGGTCCCATGGTCAAACATTTGGGGAAACACTTTTCCTTTTGTTTTTTTTTTAAGATTGATAGTACACATTACATGTCCAAGGGTATTGGAATTCCTGTGTAAAGACATTAGCTGTAACTGTCTTTAACCCAAACCTGCTGGAGGAACAAGTTCACCGCGGAGCTGGAGAGCGCAGTCCTGACGCCCTTTCCAGCGCTCCTTGCCCACAGCAGGTGGCCGCCCAGGATCAGATGGGGAGCAGGACCGTCCCAAATCACCCAGCACCTGGTGCTAGAAACATTGTAGGTGCCAGAACCCACCTCCTGGTCCCCCAAAGAGCCCAGGGTGTTAGAACACAGCCATGTGGTCCCTTTACAGCCCTCTTAGAGACTGAAGACTTGTCTCCCTCACTGTTCACAGCAAAGGGAGAGAGGGAAGTGGACATGAGAGTGTCCTTGGCCTGGGGCTTCATTCTGAATAGGAGAGTGCGAGAAGATTTGTAGGGCAGGTTGTAACACCACAAAGCGCTCTCTGAGGATCTTAAGAACACAGAAAATACCTGAGTAATCATCACTCTTATACAGAGATTAAGATAGGAAGAATTCAAACAATCTCCTTAGTAATAAAATACAGCTCGAAACACAGCAAAGGGACACTAGGGTAGCCAGTCTCTTCAAGTATGGGCCATAGTCTTGTGCACAGCTGCATTTCAGACCGCAGGAGTCAGAATTTCTGTCTGGGTCAGTCTCCCCAAGTGCTCTGACCGCATCTGGAAGTCAGCCCGGCACCCTGAGCTGAGCCGTCTGGGAACGCTGCCACATGGGAAGCAGTATTGGTGCGGCTTCATTACAACCCAGGTCCCACTTCTTTGGTGAGCAAAACTAGTGGCCCCATAAATAATGACTGTGTGGCTTCAATTTTCCCATTTTCCTTTATTCCTGTCCCATGTCCCTAAAAACATCTCAACATTCAAACTATGTTTCCCAGATGGTCCAAGTACAGCAGCACAGACTCAGGTATCAGGCCGAGCATCTGACTTTTATAGCCATGCACAAAGGGTCCAGGACAACACTATGCATAACCGACACGTTTTCCCATGCTCTGTGCATGAATGTCAAGGCCAAGAATGGTCTTGTGGAGAACACAGGTCCCCAGGATGCACTGCTTCCTCACACAGGCTAGCACTTTCCTTCCATTTAACAACTGACTTTTTTAAATGGGAAAGGACAAAAAGTAGGGGTGTGGGGAGTCACTCTGTGGAGATTCTATTTTTTGCTGTTGTTAATCCTCGACTGAGGATATTTTTCTGTTGCTTTTTAGATGGAATGTAAGGGAGGGAGGGAAAAAAAATATCGATGTGAGAGAAAGACATCAATTGGTTGCCTCCAGGTCGGGGATCGAACCTGCAACCCAGTTGTGTGCCCTTGACTGGGAATCGAACCCTCAACCCTTTGGTCTGTGGGCTGACACTAATCACTGAGCTAAACCAGCCAGGGCTCTGTGGAGATTCTAAAGGGTTAGGTTTTTTTGTTTGTTTTTTTGCTTTGTTTCAGCATTTTGACCCAAAAGAAAGGCTTGCATTTACCCTCCAGGCTGACTTGGTGAGGCTGAAACGTGACCAAGATCCATGTGTTTTATGGTAAAGCACAACGAGTAGGGATTTAAACATGCACCCTCGACAGATACCTTTGCCAGCCAGATGAAATATCTTCTTCCAGATCATCCTCTAGCAGCATAATAAAATAGTCCTGTTGTTTGATTAAATGTCAAGTCAGATTTCCAGGGACACACTAGAATCTATAGTTTCTCATCCATTAATTCCTTGTGTTCTCGTCATTGCATTCCCTCCCAACCTTCAGTTCCTGCTCAAGGGGCACTTAGTTCTACCTCTCCAAGTTTCAGGGGTGATGGGCCTTCATTCACATGGTAACAAACACAGCAGCAAACCCCAAGAGCCTGAGCATCAACCACCTGCTGGCAGTTCTCACGTGAACTTGCTATGACAGGTGTTCAAGGGGAACGCGAGCTGGTGCAGGTATCTCTTGAGTGAGCCAGGCAAGTAACGCACAGAGCACATTGCTTGGCACACAGAAGGTGGTCAGGACATGTCCAGGTTGGAATTAATAAAATGTAAACAAAATGTTAAGATTGAAGAAAAAGTCTGTTTTATTTCTAAGAGCTTCAATGTGAGGAAGTCACTTGCCCAGGGACAGACTCAAACCAATAGAGATTAGTAAAATGAGATAAGAAGCTGAAGAAAACCTATGGCAGATTTTTACCCTCAGAAAGAAGTTTCAGACTTGTCTAAAAAAGGAATGGGAGCAAGCAGGATCGGGGGCCCTGAAACCTCCCCACACACAGGGCTGGAGGGTGGGCCTGGGGGACCAGGGGAAGGGATAGGGTGCCACTGTCAGAGCAGTCAGAAGAGGCTGAGGTCAGCTGACCAGAACACCGAAGTTTGTACAGAGAAGACCCAGGACCAGGGACTCCCGTCCTGCCCACACACCATGCAGCAAGCCGCAGCAGCAGCGCCCCGACTAGAGCCCCTGCAGGCAGTGAGGCACATGTGCTTCCGGAGCCCTGCCTCTCCTGAGCTGGAGAGCAGACAGCTCCCATGCTTTATTCAACTTCATAAAGCAGGTTGGTAGCTCATTTTGTTTCATGTGTTTAGAACTGGTGCAGTCAGTTGAAGCTGGTTAGGTCAGCCTTACAGATATCAGCGGTAACTTATATTGGAGGAACAGCTCACGGCCTAGGAGCACATCCACACATCTTGAATGTTTCTCTTTATCCTGAAGAGCAAGCTGGCTGGTTACTAACTACTGACAGGTGTCAAAGCTGCCTGTGACTCCTAAGCTGTCACTAATTAAATTCAGTTTCACTCTAATATTTAGACTCACAGAAGGCGGCGCTTTTGGTTTGGTTGGAGACCAAGTGGAAGGTTGGGCAAAAAGCAAGTCAAATCAGTTCATTAACCAAACCCAGTGCGCACAGGGCACAGACGCTCCCTAGTGCTTCCAAACGTGCAGCCAAGCCGACGACACCTTGACACTCAGGTCCTGTGCTCAAGGCTCGCAAGCAGTAGGCCAAGGACCAAAGATGAAAATGGGTGGGAAGTGCATTTGGAAATTGGTGATGCATTCCTTAAGGGAAAACCAATCTGAAATTAAACATACATTCTACAATGTATGTTCATCCTTTAAAATTTTAAATACCCTTCATTTGTATTCTAATTGGTCCCCTCACTTTTAATTTCAATTTCCAAACTCTCATATTTTAAGTATCTACTCTTCATGGTCTTTCACCGAGTCTAGAGTGTAAGAAAGTTAACATTTTCTTGCCTTTTGATTAACATTTTACCTGTTTTGCTATGGAATAGCAGAAATATAAGTGCTATAATCTATTGGGGAATCCCAGGAGACATTTAAGATTAAATCTCTATTTTACATGATTTATCCAGTACATCCCAATAATTATATCCACTCCACACCTTCTAGAGTCCACTGGAGACTGTGTGACGGAGCATGAACCCTGGTTTCGGCACAGCCGAGCAGGACCTGCATGGCTCCTCCGAGTCTCTGTGGTCCAGTAGCTACTGCCCGGGGTGGCTACAGGCAAACCTTGACACTGGGCCCTGAGTATAGGGAGCAAAGTGAGGAGTGTCCAGCTCCATCAGAGTAAGAATTACAGAGATATTAGGCTAAGCAGTGATCGCAGGAATTAGAGCCAGGCAAGAGAGGGCAGAATAAAATTTTTTTTTTTTTGGTACGTGCCCCTAACAGGAACCGAACCCGGGACTCTCTGGTCTGCAGGCCGACACTCCAACTGTGGAGCCAAACTGGCCAGGGCCAGAATTACTTTTTAAGGAATCATAAACTGAAGTTGGAGAGGACACATCCCATGATTCGATTTCCAGTCATGCCAAACCCTATCTTCCATCTACAAACAAGAGGGTGGGAGGAGCAAGCTCCTGCTAATAAAAATAACTAAAGGGGAAAATAAGGTCACAGAAAGTCGTTATGACTACAAGCCAATGATGTAGAACAGCATCTTGCTAAAATGTGTAACCACAGTGCTCTAAACTGTCTTGTTTCCATTACAGTATATCAAAGTGATGTCAGAAAATCAGTGATTGGGCTACTGCCAAACCATGATTTCCTTCTCATTATACACCAGCAATATATAAAGCTCAACAGCCTAGTCTAATGAAAAGAACATCGGTTTTACAAGCTTCTAACTATAAATTTAGCTATTCAAGAGGAAAAGCTTTGAGAGTTAAGAATCAAGTATTGTGAGAGGATGGCAAATTTAGGCGTATGGCACACTGCCAATACCCTAAACAGAGAGACTGTAACACATGCCAGTGAGGCCCAGGTGGGGCTGGAAGCACCGTCCATCTCTGTGGGACACCAGCCCCATCATGAACCTCTCAAGGTCCATTCAAAAACACTGCATTTGGAAAACTCATTGCTTTATAGTATTTGGTGCTTCTGATCAACACTATGCCCTCCCCAGCCCTGCCTCCCACCCCCACCCCACTATACACACACAGACCACAGTGCAACCTAACATCACAGGGAACAGGGAGGTTTATTGGAGAACTAGGGTATATTAGGACCCAACAAAGCTTCAGGATGACTCAACCCAGATCCAACTAAAGCCATAAGGCGTCCAGAGGACACTCGTTTTTAAAAAGCTGTCCTACAGCTGTTATCACCCAACACCACAGAAACATCAATGGCCCCAATCCATTACCTATACCTTAAGCTACTAAAGGTGATCTGGCCTCTGGAAATCATATTACTAACTGGATTTTCTTCACTGTGACGGAAGAAAGGACTAGCATGTATAGCAAAAAAAAAAAAATTTTCACATGTATGTAGGAGTCAAAATATTCTTGCAGCACGTAACATTCCAAACCATTTCCTTATATGCAAAACACATTTTTTAAAAAAGCAAGAAAACATTGGCAATATTCTGAAATACTTTCTGCAGATACTAACAGTGTTTTGTTCCTGTGTTGTGACTCAGATTTTGTCACTATAGCATGTTTCATAGTTGTTTGTATGATAAAACATTTGTTTGGCCTTTTTCTTGTAGAAAAAATAAACATTGAATTTTGTGTATTTTAAGTCTTAAAAAAAAATAAACGTTCTTCTAATAAGAGGCTATCTTTGAAGAACAAGTACCTGACCAGCATTCAAAGCAGTAACACTTTGTTATTAAAAGAGGTCACCTACTTAGATGACAAATTGGGCACCAAGTGTCGAAAACACAAGGAAAAAAATCATAACTCCACTCCAGAAGAAGCCAGCAACAACACAAGAGCCCCTGTAATCCAATGGCCATCAAATAGTGCTGCTTCAGAACCCATAAGTTTCACCCCGGAACCTGAGAAAGAGCTGCAGGGCCAGGGAGGAGGTGGACTGAGCTGGTGAGTGTCCAAAGTCCAGTTCAACCAAACTAGCTCTGCTTTTATTCAATTTATAAATCAGCCTTCTGCAAATGTTTCATTAGAAGAAAAGTTGCCATTACAATTTTTTTTTAATCCCCCACAACAATCCAATGACAGTGAATAGGTTCTCTGATCATTTTGAAATGTCCAAGTAATGTTGTAAAGCTGTTCTGAATATTTATTATATATCTTTCTGTAATAAAAGTCAAGACTGCCATGTAATTTATACTTAATTTTTTAAAAATCTGGTACAGAGCATTATCGGTGAACAATCTTCATTTTGGAGGGGAATTCTGAGGAGGGGAGTCAGTAGCCAACTATTCCTAAGGCCAACCTTGTCATGAATTAAGCTTTGAGCCACACCACCTCTGGAGCCTTAACTATATCTACTGAAAGGCTTCTGGGAGTACCTTCTCACCGCCACAATCAGAAAAACTAGAGGTCAGCATCCCGACAAAATACATCTGTAGTTTTAAGAAATAAAATAAAACCAAACAAGCTCCAGAAGTGGGATTTCAAATCAATCACATGAATGGAAGCCGGCTATCAGTTGGCCGACCCCTGCTGGGTCTTAAGGGAAATTTGTCATTGGGGCCACCTCGCCCTGGCAAGATGGGGTTAGGTCCTGGAAATGGGCCAATTGGATCAAAACGTGGTCTGAGTGGGGGGAACTGGCTGGGTGCCGCGCCAGGCCCAGGGATGAGTGAATTGATTGGGTCTGCAACATAGGGAAGTGTTAGTCTTTCATCATATTCACCACCAATAATTCCTGGAGGAAGGAGAGAGCTGGGAGGGAAAGGCCTGGGGTGCAAGGGGCTGGGATAGAATGGGGGAGGATGGGGGGACGGTGGTGGGTGGAATATCATATGCCGAATTCTCTGAGCTTCTTTTCTTTGTTTGTGCTTCTTCCTGTACAACTGAAGAAAAACAAGAACAAGATCTGGTAAGTAACTGGGATGTCTCCCCAAAGTTCTGACTTGCTTTCATTGTACAGATCTATACTTTTCTTTTCCCACACTATCAAAGCAGACAAAGAAACCAGTGTACAGAAAAGAATTTTCACCCAGCCAGTATGGCTCAGTGGTTGAGCATCAACCCATGCACCAAGAGGTCGCCGGTTTGATTCCCAGTCAGGGCACACGCCCAGGCTATAGACCTAATCTCCAGTGGGGGGCATGCAGGAGGCAGCAATCAATGTTCTCTCTCATCGATGTTTCTATCTCTCTCTCTCTTCCTCAAAAATCAATAAAGACAAATTTAAAAAAAGAAAAAAGAATTTTCACCAGTTTCTAAAGTAGTGGCTCTGAATACAATACCAAATTAACTATTTTCTTTAACCACACTGCTACCAAGCAATTGTGCCAACTTGGAGCAACAATAAATCCAAAAGAGGGATAACTGTGTGACATGTACTTTCAAGACTACAATCCAGAGTGCTCAAGCTAATATGCAATTTTAAGTCAATCTTTTTTGAAAGTGGAAAATTTAAATATTTGTTGAAAATATGCCACAAAATACAAAGTTAAGGTACTGGGGAGGGGGCAGCACCTAATTTCTATTTTTCACTTAAATTATGTCCCTAATTGAGCTCAATTTAAATAAGAACAAAAAACAGATGTCTATTTTAGAGGATGGGAAATATTTTGTACGTATTTGAATACTTCCATTAAATTTTATTTTTCTCTAGTCTCTTCATCCCAAGTTTTTCTCAGTTCTATCAATGTCTGTTATAGTAGATATCTGCAAATAAAATAAGATCACTTACTCTTTCTTAATGTACTATTCTAACTAAACAGTTGAAGATGACTCCAGCACAAAAGCAGCTCACTTAAAAAAATTTTTGTAACAGAAGACAGGAGAATGTTTTATATTAAGTAAAGGTGAAAAATAATTGTGTTAAGATTTTCTTCCTGTGTAAATTAAAATAAAATAGGGAGAGTCTAAACTAAAAGTTAAAAACATTTCCATTTACTGAAAATCAGCAATGAATTTAATGATAACAGGTTTAATTACATCATAATAAAGTAAAACATGCCAATAATGTATTAATCCACTAGTTATTTCTGTGTTATAAACATTTGCCTTGATATTTAAAAACACTTACTTCTTTCCAATCTGTGTCTCGAACTCTGACAGTGCCATCTACAAAGGAAAAACAAAAAATAAGGTTTAAAATGCTTCATTTATCCAGCATTAAACAGGTTTGCTTTTGTCCTAAGGAAATTGAGGGGTCCTCATTAAGCACAAAAAGAAACGAATCATTGGTTTAACACAGACAGTATCATTTGTACTTTCTTGACCCTAACTCGAATCCTCTCGTGGTGGCTGAGGGCAGCCATCACTGTTCTGTGCTACCTGGTTCAGTGCAGGGACTCCCTCAGGGAGAGCTACATGGCTGCTCTCTCCCTGTACTAACTGTGCCACACTAATTCATTTCCCCCTATTTCATGTAGGTGTGTTAGCTGCTTCTGACCCCAAGTCTCATGTCACACTAAACTGTTTGATGACCTCTGAGTGTCCATATTACTGGAAGTTTTCTTCCATAATTGTTAGATTTTCTCCCAACCATGTTCTGAATGATTCTACTCTCAGCAGTATGACCATACCTAAGTAATTTTCAATGTACTTACTTAAAATCCGAGAAATTAGGAAAAGAAGCACTCCTTTAAGCCTAATGAAGAGTTTGCATAAAAGATAGTGTCTTCTCTAGAAGTTATTACACTGCCATGGAAGAAAAACTTATAAAAGCTCCAGCCTCATAACACTGCATCTACAGGGAAGTTCATGATAAAATCTGAACACTAGGTTTACAGTGACCTTGTGGACTACAATCTGGAAATGAGATAAAAACTGATTGTCTTTTAAACCTGAACTTGATAATACAAGTAAAAATTATTTGTTCCTTTCATGAGTATTTTTATCATAGCCTGCTTTTATTTTGGTTGATTTGTCCATGTATGTTGGTCATTGTCTTTTCATTTTGACTATAATTTTTGTAAATTTCTGAGATGATATTTGCTGCCTCCAGGGACAAAATAACATTTTAAACTTTGGATTCGAGGGCAGAAATAAAGAACAAAGACCTTAGGAATCAAGAAGGAAAAGAAAAAAAACCAGGTCATTCCCACTTCTCATATTTTGAAGTTGTACAAGAAAAAAAGTTTTTGACAATCCAAATGATTCTACATGATCTTCTTACTTAAAATGTAAAAAGGAAGGGGAATCTACTATACATGTTTATAGTTGCTAGGGTAGTATGTTATCTTTTATAGCATCATCATTCAAACTTTTTTGATGTGACCCACAAATATTTTACATTGTAACAGTGTGTGTGTGTGTTTTTAGATAGATAGATGAAATACAAGTTTACTCCTATTTTATAAAATGCTGACTTTTTTCTTTTTTTGGTAAAAGACCCATTAAATTGATTTCATGACTCACCCCGAGTCAAATTATAGTTTTTTGTTTTGGTTTTTGTTAAACCTCACCCAAGTATTTTTCCGTTGACTTTTTTTTAGATAGAGTGAAGGGAGGGGGAGGAAGGGGTGGCCAAAAAAGACATCGATTGGTTGCCTCCCACATAACCTCGACCCGGGCCAGTGATCACCCAGGTACGTGCCCTTGACCAAGAATCGAACCTGAAGCCCTACTGTCCACGGGCTCTAACCACTTAGAGCCAAATCACTGTTTTAAAAAAACACTGATAGGTAGAAAAATGGTGATGGCAGAAAAGAAGTTCCACACTCAGGCTTACAGACTTGTATCTGGAAATCCTTGGACATTATGGATAACTTCTCCCCAGCCCCAAGTTCCAGTGTCATCACTGCGGCAAATAAAGATCAGGTCACCATGAATGTGACAATACAGAAATACAGCTTCCCCAGCAACATGTCACAGGGGCTCTTTCAACTTATATTATGATCACAAGCATGGAAGTAGTTAGAAATGCATCACATTTCTAAGTTAGATACTGAGGATGGTCAATAGAGAATAAACCTGTCTTACTTCCATCTTTCTATCCTAAAAGTCTATTTAGTCTAAGGCTATTTGAGGAGAGGTTTCAGGACATAGGCACAGGTTTATGAAGCTTAGAATCTCTTTATAATAGGCTATCTGTTATGATTATTTGCATCCCTAAAAAAAAACCTGTAACTAAAAACTTTTGGCAAGATTTTGACAATTAAGAATTAAGATCTCAGCCCTGGACAATTTGGCTCAGCAGTAGAACATCGGCCCACAGACCAATGAATCTCGGGTTCGATTCCAGCCAAGGGCACGTACCTCGGTTGCAGTTCGTCCCCAGCCCTAGTCAGGGTCATGCGGGGGGCAGCCAGTCAATGTGTCCCTCTCACATCAATGTTTCTCTCGCTCTCCCTTTCTCTCCCTTTCTCCCTTTCCCACTCTATCTGAAGATAAACAAAAAAATATCCTCGGGTGAGGATTAAAAAAAAAAAAGAATTAAGACCTCAGTAAGAGCCCTTTTCTTGTTAACATGTCATCACAGAAATCACCTCGAAAATCTCGCAGATATAAACATCTCCAAAGAAGTTGGTCATTTGACGCAATAAAGAGATCACGACAAACTGCAGACAACGATAGGACAGAACGAATGTCCAAAAGTCGGAAGATCCGTAGTTTCAGCTCCAATGGAAGGACTACCAACCCAAATACATCTGGTAGGTTCAATGCTAAAAGGAAAAAAAAGAACAAGTATCACTGAGTAAAGAACATGCAGCTTTCCCCACACATCTAACAAAGGTTGGCAACCTGTTCCTTTATAAACAGATAATAAGTTAGGTGGTAGTTTCAATTATCCAAGTATACATATCTGCAACAAATTTTTAGCCCCAGGTTAACTAGATTACTACTAACTCAAAGCCCCTGCCTTGTTCCCTTTATGTTTTAGTGTGACAAGTTGTAGATACTAGTCAGTGACTTTTTATTTTGAGCAATATTCAGTGCAACAAAAAATTCCCTACTCAACTACAAAAAATGGATAATTCACTGGCTTTTATAACTGGCTCCCAATGCTGCTACTTATTAGCTGTGTGCCTTTGGACAAGTTACTTAACTCTAGCTCAATTTCCAAAATGGGTTTTACAGGTAAATTTTTAGAACAATGTTTGGCATACAATAAGCACTCAGGTGTTAGCAATTACCATTAGGCAAGCTTTAAAAAGAAAGGTAGATAAATTCAGAAGCAAAACCAAGAAAAGGATAATAATATATCCCAAAGTCAAATGAAAATTATTTTCCCATTATTAGCTCCTTTGAATATATGTGATAGTATTCTCCACTAGCAAAGATAATCAAATTCCAATAACGGGTTTTAAAATTCACATTTTATATTGCTCAGCCAGTATGGCTCAGTGGATTGAGTGTCGTCCCATGAACTGAGAGGTCCACAGTTCGATTCCCAGTCTGGGTACATGCCCCAGTTGTGGGCTCAATCCCCAGGAGGTGTGCAGGAGGCAGCCAATCGATGTTTAAAAAAAGAAGCAACCACCCTGGCCACTTTGCTCAGTGGTTAGAGCATTGGGGCCTGTGGTCCAGAGAGACCCGGGTTCGGTTTCCACTAAGGGCATGTACCTCGGTTGCAGTTTGTCCCTGGCCCTGGTTGGTCATGCGGGTGGCAGCCACTCAATGTGTCCCTTTCACATCGATGTTTCTCTCTCTCTCTCTCTCTCTCTTCTCTCCCACTCTATCTGAACAAAAAAATGGAAAAATGTCCTCAGGTGAGGATAAAAACAAACAAACAAACAAACACTCAAAAGCAACCAATAAAAACAATTTCACATTATTCTCTTCCCTCACCACCAATTAAAGAAGAAAACTATGGTATGACAGCCTCGGCACCATGCAAACGAGACCTAAAATATTATTTCTCTAGATGTAGATGGCAAATAAAAACCACATATCTTGTTTATATAAATCTGAAATTTACCAACTAAAGGATTGTGGTAGATTATGATTCCCAATCATTTTCTACTGTATAATGATACTTCAGGCTTGGCCATTTTGACTTGTTTTGTCCAATGAAATGTGAGTGGAAATGGTATATCATTGCTGAGCAAAAGCTTTAAGAACCAACACAGAGTTGGGCCATAAGAAGAGTATGTCCTCGATAAGGACCACTCCTTCAACCAAAGCTAACCCACACACAACATGTACGTGAGTGAGAAGTAAATGTTCACTGTAAGTCACTGAGGTTTTTTTTTTTTAATTATTTTAGAGAGAGAGAGAAATACTGATGTAAGAGAAAAACATCAATCGGTTGCCTCCCACATTGTGCCCCAACCGGGATCAAACCCACAACGTGGGTATGTGCCCTGACTGGGAATCGAACCTGCAACCTTCTGGTGTACAGGACAATGCTCCAACCAATTGAGGCACACTGTCCAGGGCAAGTCACTGAGATTTTTAAGTATTTTTTACAACACAAGTAAGAGAAAGCTGACTAATATAAGGATTTGGAGAGAATTAAAAACCTCAATGAATTACAGTTTCATCATCTATAAAAGGAGAATAAAACCTACTTCAAAGTTGTTACCATTAAGAGCACCTGAAATATCCAAAGTACCTAGCAAAGAGCCCCAATAAATATTGTTTTAAAACAAAACAAAAACTTAGACCCAATTTACAGGCTATACATTATTTACTTAATGAACATGTTATGGGCCAGACTCTGTGCTAAGCCACGAGAATACAAAAGTGAATAAGACATACTCCCTGCTTTCAAGTATTCACAACCTTAGATGGAGAGAAATCATATCAACAATTATGATACACTGAATAAAGGGTTACAATAAAGATACGTACAAAATGCTGTGGAAATACAAAGAGGAAGTGAATAACATTTCAGGAATTAATATTTAAATTTAGTCTTAAAATCAGAGCAGAATTTCACTAAGGAGAGAAAAGAGGAACAAGTCATGAAAACAGTACATAAACTTACTATTTTTTTCTAACCATTTGACTTGTAACAATTCTCTCACCTTGTCGGGTAAAAGCCAGGAGAGGATACACCAGCTGGTCTTTGAAGAGGCGAGAAAGTTTCTGAAGATCTTTGTATATCTTGGCTACATTTTCCCCTAGAATATTTTTTAAATAAAAAATCAAAACATAAAATCAAGTGGAAAAATTTGAAATGGTGTCCTCTACTTCAACCAAAACAAATCAAAGCAGCAAATAAATTTTCACAAATAATTCCTACAAAGACACGAACCAAAATCTCCAGCAGAAGAGGAAGTATACAGTGCATGACTTAGAGAACTAAATCTTAGATCTAAAACTAAAATCCTATAATATCAAATTAATTGAGCTGTACCCAACCTACATAGCTCATAGGCTACAATTTGGTAGGAAATACTGGTGTGAGATTCATACACATAGCTAAGATATACTGAATATCTACCAATCTGTTCTGGGCACTAGGATACAGTGGGGAACTGCTCTTGTGGAGTTTAGATCCTAGTAGAATAAAATTGTATTTATCACATGATTACTATGTATCAAATGTGTCAAGCAGTTTTCAAGTCTTCTTTAGAATCGGCATTCTAAGAGATAAATACTATTATTCCCACTTTAATGACAGACAAGATACAGAGAGCCCATCCAAGGCCTTATAGTAAGTGGCAGAGCAGGGTACAAACCTAAGTAGGGCTCCAGAGCACTAAAGTGCTACTCAAAGTGTGGTCCATGGATCAACTGAATTGACATCACCTGGGAAATGTTTCCACATTGAATCCCAGGACCCACCACAGAACTACTTAATCAGAACCTGCAGTTTAATAAAATCCCCAGGTGACTTGTATGTACATTACAACATGTACACTGTCAAACTGCACCTGAAGTTCCCACTTTAGTTTTGCTATATATTTACCAAATGTATACCTCGAACCCTCTGATCTGCACCTGTTTGCTTACCTGTTTAAAGGAGATACTACCACTGCATCAGAGAAGAGTGGTTAAAATTTACAGCTCCACATGCTGTGCCTAATATATATATCAGTTTATGCTTGCTGCCTCCCCATTCCGTATTTATGCATCTCACTATCAATAAATAAAACATGCATTATAACTTGATTGACAATGAATAAGAAAAATATGCAGCTAAACTCAATCTTTGTTGCATGAACTACAATCTTGAGTTCAAATCAAATTTCAAAATATATTAAAAATCAATTTGGTTTAATGGTCTTTTACAAGTGTGAGAACTGATTTTCTGTAAACAAAATATTTCCTTCAGTGACCTATAATAAAAATAATTAGGAACTTATAAATAAAAGGATAAATAACAGTACTTAGTACATACTGGGTATTTTAAGCCACAGTAAACATTAATTAATTAATTAATTTTTTTGGTTAAGCCTCACCTGAGGATATTTTTCCATTATTTTTTTTTTAAATACATTTCTATTGATATTTTTAGAGAGAAAGGAAGGGAGAGAGATAGAAACATTGATGTGAGAAACATTGATCGGCTGCCTCCTGCACACCCCTACTGGGGATTGAGCCCACAATCCAGACATGTGCCCTAATGGGGAATCAAACCAGGCCCTCTCAGTCCATGGGACAATCAATGCTCAATCCACTGAGCCACAATGGCCAGCTGGGCTCCAGTGATTTTTAGATAGAGTGGAAAGGAGGGAGGGAAAGGAGGAGAGGGCGAGAGGGAGAGGTATCAATGTGAGAGCAACACATCAATTGGTTGCCTCCCACATGACCCAACCAGGGCCAGGGATGGAACCTGAAACCCAGGTACGTGCCCTTGACTGGGAATCGAACCCACAACCCTTCAGTCCACTGGTCGACACTCTAACCACTGAGCCAAACTGATCAGGGCTGTAAACATTAATTTAAATGACTTGTCAAATTAGTATATTCCTACCCAACATAAAAAGTGCTACATTAGGCCCGGCTGGTGTGGTTCAGTGGCTGAGCATTGATCCATGCACCAAGAGGTCACCAGTTTGATTCCCAGTCAGGGCACATGCCCAGGTTGTGGGCCAAATCCCCAGTGGGAGGCATGCAGCAGGCTGCCAATCGATGTTATCTCTCATCGATGTTTCTATCTCTCTCCCCCCTCCCTCTCCCTTCCTCGCTAAAATCAATAAAATAAAAAAAGTGCTACATTAGCCCTGGCCAGTTTTGCTCAGTGGTTAGAGCATGTCAGCCAGTGGACCAGCGAGTCATGGGTTCAATTCCAGTCAAAGGCACGTACCTTGGTTGCAATTTGATCCCCAGCCCTGGTTGGGGTCATGCGGGAGGCAACTGGTTGATGACTCTCTCACATCAACGTTTCTCTCTCTCTCCCCCTTCCTTCCCTCCCTCCCTCCCTCCCACCCACTCTATCTGAAAATCAATAGAAAAATATTCTCAGGTGAGGATTAAAAAAACAAAGTATCACATTAAAAATATTCATTTAATAGCCCATAAACTTGTAATAAAACTATATTAACTTTTTTCCTTTTCATTTCCTTTCAAACAGAAACTAGATGAAAAATATAAATCTGAGCTACATTCATATAAAAGTTGTTTTTAAAAATAGGCTTAGGAGTCAAATCTATTCCAATCCTAAATTCTACCATTTATTAGCTCTGTGACCTTGAAGTAATTTAACCTCCTCTAGACCTATTTCCTGATCTATAAAATGGGCATAATAACCTCTACTGCTATAGAGTACAGAGGATTTCTACTCCCCATAGCATATAAATGAATATACAGTGTTGTAGCCATGGAATTTCTGGCCTAATGGTAAGACCCTCTTTAGAGATTTATGAGTCTAGTTCATGCATTCTCAACAGGGGCAATATTGCCCCCAACAGGGCAAAAATTGGTTCTTAGAGGGCAAAAACATAAAATCCTAGTTACTACATTGGTTTGTGCCCCTTCAAAAGATCACAGTATACAAATAAGTACACAGTTTATCTACAGTGTCAAATTTTCATGGGGAAGAATAATTAGGGGGAACAAATGTGTACAAAGACTCATTAGGGGATTGATAAGGGAAAAAGGTTAAGAAACACAGGTCTAGTATGATATTAAATGTTCGGAGACCATTATAAATATGTACAGTTGCCCCTTGAACACAGGTTTTTACTGCACAAGTCCACTTATATGCAGATTTTTGTTCATAAATACAAAATCAGCCCTCCCTATCTCTAGTTTTGAATCCTCAGATTCAACCAACAGCAGATAGAAAACAGTGTTATCCATCCATGACTGGGGATCTGTGGATGCAGAGGGCCAACTGTATGCATTGTTCTACATTATTTTATAAAAGGGACTTGAGCATCCGTGGGTTTTGATATCCACAAGGAGTCTTAGAACCAATCAAGGGCCAACTGTAGTTAAGTTTTGGGGAGTCAAAAGTTATATGTGGATTTTTAACTGCACGAGGGATCAGCATCCCTAACCCCAGTTGTCCAATGGTCAACTATATTCTGATGTCTGCTTTATCTATCAGTTTTAGTTCATACAGGTCACTCTCAAGGCTTGATCTCCCCTGGGAACCAACAAGACTAAGTCTCTAGGCCCTCAAAGCAAAGATCTAGATCTAGGTAGTCTTCCCTAGAAAGACACTACTTTAAATGTCATCTCACCACTCTCCATCTGGATTTTAAAACCCTCTTAAGTTTACTATGAGGATGAAATACAATAACATCTATAAAGGCACAAACTAGCACTTAAAGATATTTCCCTCTCCAACCCCATCTCTTCTCCAACCACCTACCCACCTCTCATCCTTTGGCTTAAACAGTAAAATAAAAAGGAAAACTTAATTTCTTTGCATATTTAATAATTCTACAGAATATAAGGTAAACCACGCCCAGAATGCAAACTTTTGGTAGAGGTCCAATCTGCATCAAATAGCAACCAAATTTATATAGCTTTAAGCAAACAGCTTTAATAATGAAATTTCATTATATGGTTTCCACAAAACGTAGACCCTCTCCATACTGATTAAACACAATGCTAGAAAAAAAACGCAAATTATGAAGCATCAATAGTATGCAATAAATTACATGCTAATGTCATTACATAATGGCGAGTAGATATAATCCAGCATTCCAAGACCCTAAGAATAACAGGAAACAGAAATTCTGCAACATGGTCTTGAATTTGCTATAATCTCATTCAGAAATTTTAAGACCTTTGAACATTACAAGTTTTTAAAAGTGAACCTCTCAAAGCTTCATCTCAAATGTTAAATCATGGTTATATTACCTAGTTCCTCTTTGCAAATAAAAGATTCCGGCAGCAGCTGCAATCTTTTCACACTTCTAATCTCACTGTTGATTTTTAGTGTAGCTGTAAATAAGAAAGATGAAAATTTGTCACTTCATCCCTTGCCTTCATTTGTCAGTTCGGGATTGTTATTTCCTTGCCCCCAATATACAAAGGACACATTATACAAAACAAACTGCTCTATTCTTATTTCCTTCCCTCATAGCCAAGTCCAAAGTGTAAACCTGCCATCAAATGAATTAAAAATCACTCCAAAACACCACCTTTAAAAGCTATAGTGAGCACCATTATTTAATATTTATATAAAAAATATTATTAACAGCAGCTCATTAGTAATCAGAAGATATGCAACAAGGTTAATAGGAGACAATTAAACACAATAAAAACATTATTTCTAACAATGTTACTAAAAACGCCATTTATTTTTTATTTAACCCTGGCAATGGGTCTTCCCTTGTTTATTAAATGAATCCTCTTTCTAGACCCAAAAGACCAATATTCTTGACATCACCAGAGAATTCAATTTCAATCACATATACAAAGGCACACTTCATCTCGTTCTATGAAAGAGCTAGTGATGTGTTTATGCACATGTGCACCAAGCAGGATGTCTTCAGTGAAGTAGAGATTTAATGACACACTGCTCCTTTTCAAAGAACAAGCCTGGAATGGCTGTCTGCCATGCAAGTCTGCAAGCAGCTTATTTGCCAAGAATGGTAAATAAACAAAATATCAGAAACTAATATATCATAAAACATTTAGCAGCTATTCTCTTTTAAGTATCTTGAAACTAGTAAAGAGAGATTATACACGTTAAAGAGCTTTTGTAAGAAATTGAGGAAAAATTACAACCTCACATTTACTATTTGGTAGCTTTGACCTTGCAAGTTATGATGTGATGTAGCAGAATGATTAAATGAAGGCAGAAACTGCTGTCCTTCTGGGTATAAGAATGCCCAACTGAAAGTTGCATTTGTAATTGTGATGAACTGTTTAAAAGACATTGCTACGTCCTTGTGTCATCAGACAGACACATCGTGACAAATGTGAAATACCATCAAAGCTGTTAAAGCTGAAATTTTGAAACTTTTAAATAACATTTTGAAGAATCTGGGATTAAAAGGAAATAGCAGAAATTACATAATGAGGAACCTAGAACTGTCTTTCATTTCAAGAATCAAGACAGTGTGAGTGGCTTTCAAAGTAAATTTTAGCAGAAAAAACATTTTCTAACAAAATCTTGTAAGGAACCCCAATAAATGAAACAGACAAAGATATTGCTGCTCAAGATTTAAGTGGAGATAGGAGTTCTACTAAGCCTCCTCACTTCCATCCCAGCAGAAATTAGGCCACCGCAGAACATGCTGAAAACCACTGAGCTCAACCCGGCCGGTGTGGCTCAGTGGTTCAGCATCAACCCATGCACCAAGAGGTCACCAGTTCAATTCCCACTCAGGGCACATGTCCAGGTTGTGGGCCCGATCCCCAGTGGGGAGGCATGCAGGAGGTGGCAAATCAATGTTTTCTCTCAACTATGTTTCTATCTTTCTCCCTCTCCCTTCCTCTCTAAAATCAATAAAGAAAAAGAAAAGAAAAAAAAAAACACTGAGTTAAGACATATTGAAGCAGCCACCACCTTTTCTATACAAAGATATACTGAAAAATAAAAAATGCACCATTCCAATTTTATCCTTAAAAGGATAAACCTTAAAAATCAAAATGCAACAAAAATGAAAGATTCTAATCACTAAAATGGATCTCTAGAAGGTGTGATTATGAGACTGTTCCAAAGACCACTGGTAGTTGGTAGGGACCTGTAGACAGCAAAACGGTAGGGCTGCCCAAAGACTGAAGGCTGCTGGTGAAGGCTGCTGGCCTGAACATCAGCCTCGCAATTCTATAACCTTTCAGACTCGTGTTATCAGTGGTATAGGGATTAAACAAAATTGAGAAAGACTCATAACTATATCATAATAGCCAATCGAATCAAACATTTGGAGAAAAACATGTAAGTATTTGTAAAATAATGACCAAGACCATGCATTCCAATTACCATTAATGACAACTTGGTTTCCCAAAGGCACACAGGTGAGAGCAGCAGAGCCGCCCTCGCAGAGAGGATGCGTGTACTGCAGCTTATACACGCCACCTGACTTCCAGTTCTCTGGCATGGACAGAGTTTTGGCTTCAGTCCCCTGGGGAATGAAATGAAAGGGAAACAAAAAATGAAGAAAGGTATTATTCTCAAAAAGAATAAAAATCCAGGAAGCCTCTCAATTGTCTAGAAATAAGCATTCCATACAGTCCCCTTAATAAAATTTCTCAAATCATTAATATTGCTATAAAATTTTGATAGAAAAATGTTATATTATCCTCCATCAAAATGTTTGTTCAAAAATATAAAATAACATCAGAGACAGAGATTAATTTCTCTCTTCAAAGACTCACTTCTCTGCCTATCAAAGTCACAACATTATTCAAAGACCCCAGCTCAAATTTCACTTCCTTTGGGAAGCCTTTTAAAATATATATATAATGCTAAATGGAATAAGTCAGTCAGAAAAAGCTAAGAACCATATGATTTCACTCACATGTGGGTTATAAAACTGAAACTCAGAGACGTAGACAGATAACAGTATGGTGGTTACCAGAGGAAAGGGGAGTGGTAGAGAGTAAAGAGGGCCAAATATATGGTGAGAGAAAATGATCTGACTTTGGGTGGTGGGCACACAATCCAATATACAGATCATGTATCATAGTAATGTACATTTGAAACCTATATGACCCTATTAACCAATGTCACCCCAATACATTTAATAAAATAAAATTTTTTTAAAAATCCTGATCTGGCCAGTGGCTCAGTTGGCTGGAGCATCATCCTACACACTAAAAGGTTGTAGGTTTGATTCCCGGTCTGGGCACATACCTAGGTTATGGGTTTGATCCCAGGTCAGGATGCATACTAGAAGCAATCAATGTTTCTTTCTCACATCAATGTTTCTCTCTCTCTCTCCAAAAGCAGTAAAAACATATCCTCGGTAAGAATTTAAAAAATCCCACCCTGGCCGGTTTGGCTCAGTGGCTAGAACATTGGCCTGTAGACCAGAGTCCCGGGTTCGGTTCCCACTAGGGACACGTACCAAAAGAAAAAAAAAGAATTTAAAAAATCCTGTGTGTCATTCTCTCTCTTTTATCCCTTAACATTCTGTTCATATTTCTATTATTATATACTTCTATTATGTTATTTATCATAACACATTATAATTTTCTTTTTATTTGTTTATCTCCCACACTTGTGGACTCCTGAGGAAGAGAACTCTCTTTATATCCTGATTCCTGGCTCAGTACATAGCATGCTGCAGGTATTCAACGATCACTGGAATATTCTATATTACTCATGACACAGCCAGTTGTGGTATTGTTATTGTATGGGAGTATGCAGAATCTCAGGTTCCACCCTAGATTTATATTAAATGAAAATTTGCATTTTAATAAGATCCCCAGGTATTCTGTGTACATTCAAGTTTAAGAAACTCTACTGTACATGTTCTCTGTGAATCTCTGGCATCCTATCCATGTAGAAGTCTCTCCTAAAATTTAACCAATACAGTACAATGGTTTGTATAATTCTCTCTTTCTCTCTGACTATAAGGAACCTCACAGCAAAGACAAAGCACTGCACCTGACAATGAAGAATGAATGAATGCATGCATGCATGCATGGATGGATGGATGGATGAATGAAAGAAAGAAAGAAAGCAACTATGGCATAAGAACAATGCCCCTCTTCCTAACGGAATCTTTTTTTAATCCTCACCTGAGGATATTTTTCTATCTATCTTCAGATAGAGTGGAGGGGGAGAGAGGAAGAGAAAGAGAGAGAGAGAGAGAAAAACATCAACTGCCTCCCACACGACCCCAACCAGGGCCAGGGACAAATCACAACCGACGTATATGCCCTTGGTCGGAATGAAACCCTCGACTCATTGGTCCGCTGGCCGACACTCTAACCACTGAGCAACCAGCCAGGGCCCTAACTGAATCTTAAGTTACTAGCCATTCAGAGTCATTAACATAAAAAATAACTTAGTAAGCCACCATTTATTTAGTTACACCCAATTCACATTCATTCACCACATTTTATCTACATATTACCATACATAACCTGTCTTTTTTAAAAAACCAGAGTTGTCATCACTTCTATAATATTAATTAAAAACTGATAAAACAAATGATGGAGGAAAAAAAGAGGGAAAGGAACATTTACTGATTGCCTACTGTATGCCCATCACTGTGTTCAGCACATTACATTTAATACCCAATCATATTTAATAAAGAAATCTGGAATACACAACACTCTAGTGATATTTACTAATATAACCCTTTTCCCAACAGGAAACTTAAATCCTAACAAGATGGTTACTTTCTGTTGTCATCTTACCTGAGGTATGTAACCCGACTCCAACATGAGAAGATGTACGGATACTATCAAGGCATCACTGGAGCTGGAACAGTCAGCTGACTGATACAGAGTCTCTAATGAATGGGGCACTTGCCCTTCCACTGATTCACTGCAGAGCATTGGTTCTGAGGGGTAGAAACCTGTGCCTTCTTCCATTTCCACAACATCTTCAATTGACTCGGCTTCAACATTTTGACTAGGCCCTGCCTGAAAAGGATAACAAAACAATGAATTAATTCATTAGACTTTTACCTGTGATAATTTGTATACTAAAGTGAGCTGAGATTAGTGCTCAAAGCAAAGCACATTACTGGGTTCAGAAATGGGACACATTAAAGAGAGCCCACCTACATGCCTAAATAAATGAGCCTGCAATCTACTCCTCCGTCCTGAATTCTTTATCTCTACTAACTCTGTGTTATGCAAAAAACCTAGAAATCTTCCTAGACTTCTCTGTCTACATTACTAAACCCCACCCCCAATATGATCATACTTCAAAGTCCCACTGAATCTATCTCCTAAGTATCTCTAAAATCTGCCCCTTCTTACTCCAATAGTACTCTACACTCCTTTATCTCCTGACTTCCAGCAACAACCTCCTCAATATCCCTGACTCTTTACTTTTTTATCTTCCAATACATTCTACTCACTGCTGCCAGTTTTCTGATAATTAAGAATCCAATTATGTCCTATGTCCCAACTTAAAACTACCAATATTTCCCCAATGTAGAAAGCAGCATTTCCCTAAATTGTGCCTGGGAATGTGACCCTAGATATTCCTAGGAAAAAAGTTCACAATAAATAAGTTTAGAGCCCTGGCCAGTTTGGCTCAGCGGTTAGAGCATCGGCCTGCGATCCAGAGAGACCCGGGTTCAGTTCCCGCTAAGGGCATGTACCTCGGTTGCAGTTTGTCCCCGGCCCTTGTTGGGTTGTATGGGTGGCAGCCACTCGATGTGTCCCTTTCACGTCGATGTTTCTCTCTCTCTCCCCCTCCCGCTCTATCTGAACAAAAAATGGAAAAATGTCCTCGGGTGAGGATTAAAAAAAAAGTTTGGAAAGTGCTACATGCTATAGCCACCTAACCTTGCCCTCCATATTCACAAAGTATGTTTTGGCATTACAAAGCTCTGAAAAGTTCAATAACGTGTATGTAACATTTAACCAAGAAACACTATCCTTCTTCCTTAACACTCAGCTGAGTGTTAACACTTACTTATAATCTCATGAAATAAGTTTTCCATAGAGGACATGCTGAGAAATGGAGGCCTACAAAATAAAGTCCAAACTCCTAAACTCCTTAGCATACAAGGCCCTTCATTACCTGATCCCTGTCTGTATCAAGTTCACTTTCTGACAGTCCCTTACTCCCCACTCTAGCAATCCCCACCTCTTCAACAGAGGTGACACAGACTACCACTCTACCTTGCAAAGTCCTTTATTACTGCACTTCATTATACTGTATTGTAATTTTCTAATTACACAGCTACATCCTACTATGACTACAAGCTTAGAAAAGAACAGACTACATATTACCACCTATTTTTGTAACACATAGTAGGTACTCAATAAATGTTTGTTGAACAAATGCTGAAGGATAGTATCTTACAATTTCATAATGCTTTTTTCAGTGTTTTCTCATTTGCGCCATTCAAAAATGCTATAAAATAGGCAGACAAATGACGTCACCTTTTAATACACACTGTAATTGTGACTCAGATTAAATAACAATCAAGGCTACCCACTAATAAAAATTTGAAATGAACCAAGCTCACCAGATTCCCAGTTCAGGGCTTTTGGACATAATACGCTGCCTCAATAAGATTAAGCTACTATATTAATTTTGCTCAGAAAGTTTACTTCCTAGGTATGTGCTCAACTCTTAATGCAAAGCACATGTTTCTTCTTTTTAAGTTCATATTTCCATTAAAGGGGCAGAGGAAATTAAAATGACTTAGTATGAGTAAAAGGGTGGAAGAATGTCGAGGAGCATGAGGTTGTTCTAAAATAACCTGATGGCGTATGGAAAAGATCCAAATTCACTTGTTAAAACCTAGAGGACAACGACAATTCACACTACCTAAAAAAGAAGGCTCCATCATATTTTGAACAAATAGAAATTACTTATTAAAACCACTTAACGCCCTGGCCGGTTTGGCTCAGCGGTTAGAGCGTCGGCCTGCGGTCCTGAGAGACCTGGGTTCGGTTCCCGCTAAGGGCACGTACCTCGGTTGCAGTTTGTCCCCGGCCCTGGTCGGTTGTGCGGGTGGCAACCACTCGATGTGTCCCTTCACATCGATGTTTCTCTCTCTCTGTTCCTCTCTCTCCCTCCCACTCTACCTGAACAAAAAATGGAAAAATGTCCTCGGGTGAGGATTAAAAAAAAAAAAAAACCACTTAACACCTAACTAAATTATAAAGTAGACAGGTTCTTTGCTTTCCTATCTATTTATGCCTAACTCTTGGCCATTACTACTTAGTGACAGTTGTGTGGGAGATAATATATGTGAAAAAAATATTAAAAAGGGTTGCCCTAAACTGATAACAGCATAAGAGAAAGATATCAGAATCCTCTGGTAAGCTTATCAGACTTTACTTCCATTCCATGAGACCCACTGACATTGCTTAAGCAGTCTGATATAATATGAATATTTATCTTATTATTCCCACATGAGTAAATGAAAACAAAAAATGTTCAGCACCACCTCTCTGAAAAGATCATTTGTCATATGTCATTTACAAATGACTGGAACAAGTGACTAAAATGCAGTTTAGAGCTAATATTAGGATCTGATACCAAGTTAGCGCTGTTCCCCTTTAAAGACTCAACAGGTACTAGATGAGTTCCCAAATATAATGACATAAGAAAAGTAATTTACACTTAGCTACAAGAGTAAAATTCTCCTATCGTTTCAAGTTTTACCATTTATTTTCCGTTTCTAATTCTACATTTAATTAGTAGATTCTACTGTTTCAAGTACTTAAAGCATTATTTATGAGATTTCAAGCTCAGTTTCCACACTAAGGTTTTGCAGTCACCCTATACAAGTCTTAGAGGACAAAACATGCTTTTAGAACTTAAATTACTAACTTGAAGCAATATTAATTTCTCAAGATTTTCCAAAAGGAAACTAATAAAGTAACTGTTATAAATACTATGAAAAGTTTCATTTTACTGGACAATTTTAATAGTACACAGAAGTAAAGGGAATGGGCCCTTCTACCAGAATTTCTAAATGAGTCTATCAGCAAAAACAATTCAGAAATGTAATTTAAATATGTGGCTAAATATTCTTACTCATTCCGTAGATTATCTCTATGCAACAAAAACACAGAAATACATAATTTTAAAAAAATGAGCCCTGGCCAGTTTTCTTCAGTGGTTAGAGTGTTGACCCAAGGACCAAACCATCTTGGATTCAATTCTAGTCAAGGGCACATACCTCAGTTGCAGTTCAGTCCAGGCCCAGGTCGGGTTTGTGTGGGAGGCAACCAACTGATATGTCTGTCTGTCTGTCTGTCTCCCCCCCAACACACATACACACACACACACACACTCTATCTGAAGATAAATGGAAAGGTCTTCTTGGGTGAGGATAAAAAAAAAAAGAAACGTAAAAATATGTTAAGCTTTATAAAAGTTTTTTTTTAACTTGCATAATCTCTCTGGATACTATTACTAAAAATGTGGACATAGATGATTATCATAATTTACAGACCTGTTAATATCTGTATATACCGAATGACACTACAGGCACAATATTCATAAATGTTTAAGGCCCACACAAAAAAATTAAGTTGAAGTGATAAGTACACATACACAAAACAATTAACAAGATGGCATATATATTATTATTAATAAATTAAGTAATAAAAGTGATCACTCCAGCCATATAAGAAATCAAAAGGCAGGATAATAAATGATGTATTTACAAGGCAATAACGATAATAAAGAGAGCCCTGGCCAGTTTGGCTCAGCAGTTAGAGCATCGGCCTATGGTTCCAAAAGACCCGGGTTCGGTTCCCACTAAGGGCGTGTACCTCAGTTGCAGTTTGTCCCCGGCCCTGGTTGGCTGTGTGGGTGGCAGCCACTTGATGTGTCCCTTTCACAATGATGTTTCTCTTTCTCTCTCTCTCTCTCTCTCTCTCTCTCTTCCTCTCTCTCCCACCCACTCTATCTGAACAAAAAATGGAAAAATGTCCTCGGGTGAGGATAAAAAAAAAGATATTAAAGAAATGATTGTGGTTGGCAGGGCCTTGGAGGATGGCTAGAGATCGAGGGAGGAGAGGGAGTAGATTACAGGCTGGGTGAACAGCAAGAGCAAAGGCATGAAGCAGTTGCTAGGTAGTGCATACATGTGCACATACGAGCATGTGAATGTGTTGGATGGTAGAAGGAAAATGATAAGGGGTATAGTCTGACAGGAGATGACAGTTTACAGGAGGGAAGAACAGAAACTAGCTCCGCAAAGGTTGTGGCACAACTTCTGAGAAAGCTTTAAAAACTGGTATAGGAGGATAGACATTTTCCTTTTCTGTACCATGACAGGGTTGAACTAGAGATATTTGGTCTTTATCAATTCAAAAATATGAGCACAGGTATATCTGTGACAAAGAGTAACTAAAGAGCAAGGGAACAACATAATCAAAAACCTGTAAGAAGAAAATGAACCTATAAAGTAGAATGAAGAACAGACAATGAAAGCCTGAAATGGAAAAGAAAAACTGACAAGGCTTGTTAAGGGGTTGGGTATGAGGGTCAAAAATCACTCCAAGGTTTTAAGCTCAGGAAAACAGCAGTACCACTGACAAAGAGGCAGCTGATTAGGGAAGAAGAGAACATCAGTGTACATATTTTCAAATTTATGTTGGCATACAGAATCTGTGGTAACAATTTTTAAAACCCAGGCATAAATGTCCAGCAAATCATTTGGAAATAACTGGACGGCATATAGGCTTAATGAGTGGAGTAGATTGGAGAAGCAACGCTGGGAACATGAGCTTAAAGGCAACAATAGAAACCAAGGGATAATTATCTGAAGGAGTGAATGTCTGAACAAAATAAATAGGTAAAAACTGGGTTCCTCAGAATGTCAACCCAATATTGATCCAGGCATTTAGCAGTTTTAAAAACATGTTTTTCGCCCTGGCCAGTTTGGCTCAGCGGTTAGAGCGTCGGCCTGTGGTCTGGAGAGACCCGGGTTCGGTTCCCCTAAGGGCACGTACTTCGGTTGCAGTTTGTCCCCGGCCCTGGTTGGTCGTGCGGGTGGCAGCCACTCGATGTGTCCCTTCACGTCGATGTTTCTCTCTCTCTCTCCCTTCCTCTCTCTCCCTCCCACTCTATCTGTACAAAAAATGGAAAAATATCCTCGGGTGAGGATAAAAAAAATTAATTAATTAATTAATTAAAAAATGTTTTTCCATAAGAATATAATCTGCAATCTACTAATGATAATGACCCTTACTAGTACAGAATTCAATGACGGTGTTCAGTATGATTTGTCAACCATCCATTTCCTGTCTAAATATTAATACCCACCATACTCTCATCATTCCAGACATCAGACTGGGCTGCCTCTCCTTGGAATGAATCACTCCGCTGTTCATCCTGTATGCTGGACTGACGGGAAGGGGTGGCCAAAGAAGGTTGGTCATTATTCTGGAGTGAGGAATGCTCTGAATCTGTGGATGAAGGTAAGTTAGGTGCTGGAATGGCATCTTCAAGAATCAAACATATCAAGTCCCCAGAAACAATCCCATATGAAGCCAAGGTCTCTTCATCTCCAGTGAGGGCATCCTTGTTGTTCAATGTAATTGCAAACCGGGTATCAGAACTGCCAAGAAAGATGGATAAGGATGGTAAGAGCTACCTATTACCATTATCCTCAACAATACATTTGGAACATATATAAGGTATATGATATGACCCTAGATGAACTAAATAATGAAAACAAAACAAAAATAAGAAGGAAGCCAAAGTTTTGGGAAAACAACCAAATTATTCAGTCTTATCACCAAATACCTAGGTTATAGATTTCTAAGGACTAAAATTATAGCCAGGGGGAAGGATACAGTAATTTTCTATCAATACTTTTTTATATTTTGACATCTTTGAAATAAGGATGCTTCTTAAAATCAATGACATATCACAACTTAACTGACAGCATTTTTTCCTTTAGTGTTACATAAAACAATGTCTTCAGAGTGACAGCAACTGAGATTCAATGAATATTGTCTTTTAATAATATAAATTATATCACATCATTCATCTGCCAAAAATCTTCCAATGGCTTCTATTTGAACTTGGAATAGAGTCCTTAACATGGCCTTCAAGCCTAGCATTTGGCCCCGACCAGCTTCTACCTCAACCACCTTATGCCATCCTCCCTCTCACTGACTTTCTCTATTCACATGAGCTTTCTATCCATCCTGAAAACAGATCAATTTCATTGCAACCTTTGGGCCTCTGCATTTGCTCTTCCAGCTCTTCAAGTGACTAACTCTTTCCCATCATTCAGATCTCAACTTAAATGTCCCCTTCTCAGAGATCCTTTCCACCCAGTCTCCATCACCCTATTCCATTCTCATGTTTTATTTTTATCGTAACTCCACTATTTGAAAATATATTTATTTATTTATTGTCTCTCTTCCCAAACTCCTACATTAGAATTTAAGTTTCATAAGATCGGGTATCTTGTCTGTCTAGTTCAAAACTGTATTTGCGCCCTGGCCGGTTTGGCTTAGCGGTTAGAGCGTCGGCCTGTAGACCAGACAGTCCCGGGTTCAGTTCCCGCTAAGGGCACATACCTCGGTTGCAGTTTGTCCCCGGCCCCGGTTGTGGTCATGCAGGTGGCAACCAGTCGATGTGTCTCTCTCACATCAAAGTTTCTCTCTCTCTCTCTTCCCCCCTCTCTCCCTCCCACTCTATCTGAAGATAAATGCAAAAATGTCCTCTGGTGAGGATAAAAAACAAAACAAAACTGTATCTATGGCACTTGGCAACAAAAGTGTGGAATAAATGCAACTAACATCTGTTGGGAAGATCAAGCCGAAGCTGAAATCAGGCTACCCATTCACTGTCTTTACAGGACAGTTAGCTTATGTTGGTTCCAAAATACTAGACCCATGCCCTAAATAAATATTCATAATCACAAAATAAATATTCATAATCACAAAAAGTTAGATGAGTGTATGTAGATGACTGAACGCAAATTCATCCCTCCTACTAAGTACAAGTTTTCTTCTTCTTTTTTTTTATCCTCACCCGAGGACATTTTTCCATTTTTTGTTCAGATAGAGCGGGAGAGAGAGAGAGGAAGAGAGAGAGAGAGAAACATCGATGTGAAGGGACACATCGAGTGGCTGCCACCAGCACGACAAACCAGGGCCGGGGACAAACTGCAACTGAGGTACGTGCCCTTAGCGGGAACCGAACCCGGGTCTCTCTGTACCGCAGGCCGACGCTCCAACCGCTGAGCCAAACGGGCCAGGGCCAAGTTTTCTTCTTACTGATGACCAGTTATGATATCTTTTATGGGGAAGAAAAACTCACTGGTAAACAAGCTAAGAACTCAAATTATCCTGAAGCAGTGATCCCACCCTTTCTGCATCATAGTACTAGACCTGGAACAAAGAACCATCACTTCACCATATAGTGGTGAGCAATAATTAACAAACAACATTTATACCAGCAATGCTGACTTCATTAACTTCTTGAAAAGCCAAAGGATGAAGTCCTTTGAAAAATCATACTCTGTTTATTCTTTCTCACAATGCTGCATTTTCAAAAGTGCTCAAAATAATTCATTGTTTTTCTTTCACATGTAAATACATTTTTTCGTATAGAGTGTCTTTGGTTGAGAAATTACTGAGGTTTTAGAAACTACTCCTGCTTATTAGAAAATGAGTAGCTATGCTTCTGATTTCAAATGCTTTGATAAATGTTGAAATCCGTCAGTTGCCCAGAAAACCACCACCCCAACTAGGTCAGAAAAAAAGAAAAACACCTCAAATGAATTATGTGTTTGTTTATGTATCACAGCAAAAGACTGTGTTTTTTTAAATACAATGTTCATTCAAATATCTTTTTGTAGAAAAGGTAAAGAATTGTCTGCTAATAAAAATATCAAGCTTCCTTTCCCTACAAAAAAGGAAAGAGCTATTTCTAAAGTAATATATGTTTTTTCCAGGAGAGGCTTAAAAAAACAGTTCTTTTCTAAAATGGGGGTGAGGGGTGGAGGGAACACCAGCAAAAAACTTTTAAGCTCATCAGGAAATTCCATCCTAGAAACTTCAGGCCTTTTAAAAAATATTTTATGCCAACCCCAGAACCACTTGCTCAGCAAAGACATTTAAAAAATAATGTCTTATGGACACATTTTAAAACTGCCTATTTATCATAAAATGAACACATTAGAAGAATGTAATTTACTTTCACAAATTGAAGCTTACATTCCTCCCAGTTAACCAGCCTCCACTATAAAAACAAACCTGAAAGAGAAACTAGCTGGGGCTCTTGGGTAAACAAGGAGCCACACTGGGTTGTACATACTTTCAAGACTGCTCCTCCTAATTAAAAAATAATAATAATAAACATGCACATATAGATTAAAATACCTTAAAAAAAGAAGTTAATTTTGAAAATCTGTGGTGGGTAATGAAGTCAGCATGCAAAACACTTAGGTTTAACATTAAGAAATTATAATAGGCTTGCCACTTAATATGTTTAAAGGGGGGTATGTCAATTCCTCATATTCTGTTTATGTCTTAATTTGGAAAAAAATCAGGCTTACTTTTAACCTGAAAAATGGAAGGATAAGAAGTTCACAATATGGCCTCACTTTAATGAATTCCCTCAAAACAAAATGAAAGTTTGTAAAATTTTATAAAAGGAGACAATTACCAGAAAGGTTTTCTTTTGAAGAATTCCCTTAACCGCCCCAGCGAACTTTTTTTTCTTAGCACAAATTCCAAATTTGTTAGCGTAGTACGCGAGGAGAACCACCCTTACTTTTGTTCCTCCACTCCCAGAGTATTGTCCCCACAAGATACCCTGGGGAGGAACAAAGCAGCCTCATCTGCAGCCCGTGGATGAGTAACAGCCTTGGACCCTGTACTGCTCACCGTCACTGCCCCGGACGGCCAGCCTGCAGTCATCATAAGGCCAACGTCTACCTTGGTTTTAGCAAAAAAGCAGCACCTGGCCCAGGAAAATAAAATGATCTGAAACACGCTGACAGGCTGTATTTTGTAAATCTCTGTAGCGGGCCCTGGCCGGGCAGCACATTTGGTTACTGCGTCCCCCCAATAAGCCAAGGTTGCGGGTTCATCCCGGGTCGGGGCACACACAAGAATCGATCAATGAATGCGCAAGTGAGTCAAACAACAAATAGATCTTCCTCCCTCTCTCTCTCTCTCCCTCTCCCTCTCTCTCTCTCTCCTCTCTGTCTCTCTCTCCCTAAAATCAATAAATTAACATTTAAAACAAAAAATTTTTGCAGCGGTAAAGCCGAAGCGCTCGCCACGCGCCGGGCGGGTAAACACTCCATGACGCCCAGCGGACTGACTGCAGCCTCCGGGCAGCGACGCGAGCAACAGGTGGCCTCGGAGGGGCGCCGACTGCTAACTCCCCCTAGGACTTTCCAAAACTTGTCCACTGAAATACCCCGGCAGCTGGAGTCACATCCCCCGGGACCGGGAATGCACGTCTCGCAGGGCGGGAGCGGTCTGCGCGCCAGCCTATCCCCGGGCTCGTCTACTGGAAAAACGGAAGCGGCAGCTCACCCCGGAGGGGGACGGAGCCCCCGACGCGCCGGGCCATGTTCCCCGCCAGCCGGACCCAGCGCCCGCTCACCGCCTGGCCTGCGCGCGACAGTCCCCGGGACGCCGGGCCGGCGCCGCCCGCTGGCCGCCCGCCTCACGTGACGGCCGGGCCCGCGCCGCCGCCACGCCTCCCGCAGCCCCGAGGCGCCCCAGCGCCTCCCCGCCGTGCGCCCGCCGCGGCCGCGTACCTGTACCCCCAGGTGGGCAGCAAGGCCTGGCTCAGGTGCGCACGCAGCTGCCCCAGCGTGGGCTCCTCCTCTGGCATCTCCAGCGGCCAGGTCCGCTTCTGAAGCCGCACCCGCAGCTTCATGGCGGCGGCGGCAGGGCCCCGGGGCCTGGACCCGGAGGCGGCGACGGTGGCAGTGACGGTGACGACGGCGCGGCCTGCGGCGGTGGCCCCAGAGCGGCGACTACCGGAGCTGCGGGGGTGCTGAGCTGTCCCGGGGAGAAGGCCTCGCCACGGCGGCCGCGCTCCCGGCCGGTGTCTGCAGCGGGCCGTTCGGCCTTTCTCTTGAGGGCGCCCTCTGGAGCCCACCCCGCGAGCGGCGGCTGACGGCCTGCGTCGAGAAGGGCGGCTCGGGGCCTCGCGATCGATGACTCGGCGCTCCCCGGCGTCCCCTGGGAGCGCGAGGCGCACACCGCGCAGGCGCCGGGGCTGCCGCGGGGCGCAGGCGTCGCGGCTCCCTCGCCCGCGTGGCCGCGTCGCCTCCTTCCAGGTGTTTCCGGAGAAGGTTCCTCCTGAGGGGAGAACTCAGCAGACGACACACCACGCCGCTCCGCGAGGCGCAGGGGTGCCTCGTTCTTACCCAGTGGCGCCCAGCTCCTGGGGCGTCTGCTCCGAAAAGCCTCCTCCTATTCCAGCAAAATGTAGTCGGTGATCCATGTCGGAGAGTATAGTAGTATTCTGTTGCTGCGTAAAATCACCCCAAAGCTTGACTCCCTAAAACAACTATGTACTGCCCCACGGGTTCTGCGGGTCGGGCATTTGGACCTGCGTGGGCTGGGCGGTTCTGTCTTGGCCTCTCGTGAGCTTACAGTCGAGATGGAGGCCAAGGCGGCAGTGAGCGGAGGTCTTGGCTGGAGCTCTGCTTCCAGCGTGGCCCACACGCGTGACTGCTGGCAGGAAGCGGCGGTGTCTCACTGCGTGGACCTCCACACAGGGCCCCTCGAGTAGTCCCCATGACCTGGCATCTCTCAGTGCAAGTGATCCCGGAGAGACCAAAGCAGAAGCCACACACCAGCACTGCTGTCACATTCTGTTCATCACAAACCAACCCTTCAGCGGGGGAGGATCGACCCAATGGCATGACCACTAATCAATAGACAGGGATCCTTGGAAGCCCCCTGGGAGGCTGGCTGCCGTAGACGGTCTAACAGTGATGAGGAGGAAGAATAACTTCGGTAAGGGAGAGAGTATCCAAGTTTCATCTTTGTATGCTAGCCGTTGCCCACATCAGAAGGGTGGAATAACGTTTCTCCCTATAGGTGGCAGTACTTGATCACAGGAAACCTGTATGGATCGCCTCCTTGGTGCCAGACCTGTGCTAGGTGCTGAGGACTCACAGATTGAAAAGTCGTGTTCCTACCGGTGTAGAGTTTACAGATGAGTGAATTAACTCTTGTAGTAAAGTGTAAAAATATCTTGTTTATGAAAGAGATAAGAGAAAGTTCTGGGGGCTAGGGGACATAGAGGAAGGTTGCTGTGACAGTAGGGTTCTTCGGTAGCAAGCCATATGTGGCAGGACTAGGGTGGCTGGGTGTGGCCAGGTAGAAGACAAGTGGGTACATCCCCAGATCAAAAATAGCCTTGGGCTAAGCAAAGGATTTGGGACACATTGTAGAATGTATGGGAAGCCACTGGAGAGTTTTAAGCAGGGGTGTCTTTATCTACCAGGGACCTTAGTTCTGAGCAATAGAAGCTGACTTTGGGTGACTAAACAGAAAACGAGCATATTAAAATGATACCGGATAGCTCGGGGAATTCTGGGGAGAACTAGAGAAGTGGCTGCAGGCTAAGCTTCCAGGAATGAAGCTCAGAACCATGCTGAAGAACTGGCCTGATGGGAAAACTGTCATGACTGGGATTGCTGCCACCACCCCACCCCACACTGGAGGAAACTGCAGTCACCACTGGGGAATGGCTGCCACCTTCCAATGCCACACACTTTGTGGTCTCCTGCACCAACAGAATGCCAAGCTTCCGAAAGAGTCTGTTTCTTCATCTTGCTCACTTCTAAATCAAAGGTTCATAGGGATATATCTGACTAAGGGGGACCAAGGCCCATGTCTGAGTTCTGCCTGCAAAGGAGACTGAAATTTGGGGTCCAAACTCCTTTCCTGAGGAGGCAAAAATTCTAAAAATATTGGAATTTCCCCAAATATAGGAAGGCTGTTTAAAAGGTTATAGGAAGCCATGAATCTGACCAGGTGTACACTACAAGGGGCAAGAGGCAGATATGAAGTGCGAACCTATCACAGGTAGATAGATTAATGGTGTATATGTTAGATCAAGATTTCTCAGCCTCAACACTACTGGCATTTGAGGCCTGGTAAGCCTTTGTTGTGGAGGACTGTCCCGTACCCTGGAGGATTTTTAGCAGCATCCCTGGTCTTTTTTTACAAAATGCCTGTAGAACCCCCCCACACACACACACACACACATACACACACACACACTTGTGAGAACTAAAGATGTCTCCAAACTTTGCCAAATATTACTGAGGAAGCAAAATTGCCTTGAGAACCACTGGATTAGAGACCAGCTCAGATAGGGGGCTCTTTTGATAACTAAGAAAAGAAAGGAGTGAGTGAAATGACAGTGGGAGTGGAGACAATGAGATGAACAGGAGTCATGTTACAGAGGTAGAAATAATAGAACTTGGAAAATGACTATATCCGCTATATTAGTTAGGATATAGCTTCCGCTGCTCTAACAGATCTGAAATAATAATGACCTAAACAAATGTAAGTTTATTTCTCTCTGAAATAACATCTTTGGAGAAAACAGTGCAAGGCTAACACGGTGGCCTTGGAGATCATCTACCACAGACCACCTCTTTAATACTATGTAAACCTGGATAAGTTACTATCTATAAAGATGAAAAAGTAACAAAAATATATCAGTCAGGTGTGCTGTAAAGATTCAGTGAGATAACACCTTTGGTTTTAAGCCACCAAGTTTATTGCGTCAATAATAGCAATCGCATGCACCTGGGATCCTTATCGCAATCCTTTGCCCAGTAGGGTGTAACCACTGGGATGGCAGAAGTGATCCAACCAGAGGAGGGCCCAGGGTCCTAGAAGAGAACCAGAACATTGCCAAGGCACTGCCAGGATTTAAGGTACTCTGGAGGACTATCCCCCAACACTTCAGAGGTCCGTAAGATTATATACCCCTTCTCAACCATCTCTCTCCTTGAGATGTGTTTTCTTTTTTGCAGGGTTACCTTAATGTCTGCAAGCAACAGCCACTGCAACTTTCAAAGAGTTCAGAAATTTAAATTTCTTTTTTGTCGTGTTTCATAGAATACTACAAAAGGATGATGTCACTCTTCTGTAAGACTCCATTCATTGACTCCCTGTAGCCTTTTAAAATGTTTTTTATTTTTTACATATATATTTAAATATATAATTTTTATTAAATTTATTGGGGTTACATTGGTTAATAGAGTCATAGAGGTTTCAAGTGTACATTTCTATGATACATGATCTGTATATTGCATTGTGTGCCCACTACCCAAAGTCAGACCATCTTCCATCACCATATATTTGTTCCCCTTTACCCCCCAACACCCCCTTCCCTCTGATAAGCATCAAACTGTTGTCTGTGTCTATGATTTTTAGTTTCAAATCCCACATGTGAGTGAAATCGTATGGTTCTTAGCTTTTCCTGACTGACTTATTCCGCTTAGCATAATATTCTCAAGGTCCATTCATATTGTCACAAATGGCAGTATTTCATCTTGTCTTATGGCTGAATAGCATTCTATTGTATATATGTACCACACCTTCTTTATCCAGTCCTCTATTGAAGGACATTTTGGTTGTCTCCATGTCTTGGCCACTGTGAATAATGCTGCAATGAACATAGGGGTGCATATATCTTTGTAAATAAATGTTTCAAGTTTGAGGAGTAAATACCCAGGAGAGGGATTGCTGGGTCATATGGTAACTCTATTCTTAATTTTTTGAGAAACTGCCAGACTATTTGTTATAGTGGCTGCACCAGTCCACATTCCCGCCAACAGTGAATGAGGGTTACCTTTTCTCCACAACCTCTCCAACACTTGTTATTACCTGTCTTGCTGATAATAGCCATTCTAACAGGTGTCAGGTGGTATCTCATTGCAGTTTTAATTTGCATTCACTAATGGCTAGTGAAGTTGAACATTTTTTTCATATCTCCGTTGCCCATTCCTGTAGGCTTTTTTAAAATAAACATTTTATTTTAGAACAGTTTTAGATTTATAGAATTATTATGAAGACATATACCATATACCCAATTTTTCGTATTATTAACATCTTAGTATGGTAGATTTCTCACAAGCATGAACCAATATTGATACATTTTATTAACTAAAGTTCTCATTCTTGAGTGGGATTTCTTTAGTTTTTGCCTAATGTCCTTTTCCTGCTCCAGGATACCACATTACATTTAATTGTTTTGGCTTCTTAGGCTCCTCTTGTTTGTAAGTTTTTTAGACCTTCCTTGTATTTTATGACTTGGACAGTTTTGAGGATCACTGGTCAGGTGTTTTCTCACGATTTGACTGAGGTGATGTGCTCCTGGGAGGAAAACCTATTATGGTAGAACACCATTCTCACTACATCATATCAATAGTACCTACTGTCAATATGACTTCTCAGTTGCTGTTAACCCTGAGCACTTGGTTTCTCCACTGTGAATTTACTCCATTTTCCCCCTTTTCACGTTGCAGCCATTGGAAGAAAGTCACTATGTGCAGCCCACACTTAAAGAGAGGGAGTTATGCCCTTCACTTCCTCAGGGGTGAAGCATCTACATACGTCATTTTCATTTCTTCTGCACATGATATTTGCCTATTCTCTGTTCAATCATTTGTTTATATCACTTTGGACTTATTTATTTTACATTTTGGCTTATAATCCAATACTACTTTATTTTGTTGTTCAAACTGTTCCCAGCTTTTGCCATCGGGAGATCTTTCTCTGGTTACTGTATCCATTTGACATCATTGTGGATATTTGTGTAATCTATTTGTTCTGTTTTTTGAGTACTTTCTGGCACTGTAAGATGCCACAGGATCATTTTGTATATGTCTTGCCCCAACCCTAGAATCAGCCATTTTTCCAATGAGTCCTAGTTCTTTTCATTAGAAACCAATATCTGGGTGTTAGGTGTGCTCATTGCTATTGGAGTGTTGTTGCTTCCAGGCCTTCTCAACTGACAGAGCGAGGAGATATATATGTATATACACATACATAGTCGATTTACATGTCTCTGTGCTTTTGCACATGCCAGTCCTTCTATCTGGAATACTTTCCTTCTCTTCTTCCAAGCACCATGTGTTTATCCCTTTTTTTGCTCCAAGAGCACTGGGAACATACTTTTCAATGTTATCTATCACATCACAGTGCAATTACTTGTACACTAGGCTTTCTCCAGTCCTAGATTATGAGTTTCTCAATGGGAAATGATAGGTCTTCAACAACCCTCAACCCTCATGTCCAGTGAGAGGACTGGTTAAGCAAGACTTAAAATGACATATTCATGCTTGTCTCTGAGCCCTTAATGTATCTGTTTGGAAAAGTAAGGTCCTCATTCTGTCTCTACCAGGGAAAGTCAGGTAGGCCTTAGTTTGGGGGTTTTCTTACAAATCCAGTTTATTTTCCTGAATTTTTAGCTTTTGTCTACTTACCAACAGTTCTCACATTTTAGTCTCAGTATCACCTAGAAAGTTTTTTAAAACAGATTGCTGAGTCCCACCTCCAGAGTCTCTCATTTAGAAGGTCTGGAGAGGGGCTTGAGAATTTGTATTTTTAATGATTTCCAAGTGATACTATTGTGAAACCACACTTTGGGAACCATTGGTCTATACCATGTGGTCTTACTGTAGTTGTTTGGGACTTTTTTTAACACTTATAAAAAGAATTGAGGTTTTAGATTTATAGAATTATTATGAAGACTTTGATTATAAGCCAAAGTATAAAATAAATAAGTCCAAACTGACATAAACAAATGATTGAATAAATAGGGAATAGGAAAATCTCCTGTGCAGAAGAAATTCAAATAATTTATGTAGATGTGCTTGGTGGGAAGTTGAAATGGGCCTTAAAAACATGTTTTGAGTTGAAATTAGAACCATGCAAGTTAGAAAAAAAATTCTCTAGAAGTTGTTGAAATTATTAAAATCCTATCCATGGACCAAATGAAAATGTCTGGAATCTATTAGAAGAAAGGAATAAAAATATTCTTGGAAAGCAAACTAGAAAGAGGCTGACAGTAGACGGGTGAAGTTAGGAGGAGCATTCAGCTATTCACAGTTTGATCTGTAAACCAGTATTGTTTGAATCTTTTACCAAGATAATGTATTCACATGTTTATTGGGTAATTAAGAAAAATATAAAGAATATTAGAATCTGACCCTCAAGAGGAGTGCCATTTTCTACTGTTAAGTCTAGATAGAATATTTTAACATACATTGCTGTATCCTTGGGTCTCAACTGAGGCCTGTCAAGGGACATTTGCCATAGTCACAACTCAGGTAGGAGAGAGTAGTGCTACCAACTTCAGAGTAGAGGTCAGGGATGCTGCTAAACATTCTACAAAGTCCTTTATGGCCCAATATTGAATGTCAACTGTAATTTTTTAAAAAGAGAGAGAGAGATTGTTTAATGAAAAGTAATTATTATTAAAAAGAAAAAAGAATGATGTGGCCCAAAATGTCATTAACACCAAGGTAAAGAAATTCTTATTTGTTTGAATTGGGCTCACATCAGTGGCTCTCTGACATTTCAGAGTGTATCACACTATCTTGTTCCCTTGGTTTCACAATACCCTTCATTTCTTATAAAAGTCATATCTAGCCCTGGCCAGTGTGGCTCAGTTGAAGCCTCATCTGTGCACCGGAAGGTCGCCAGTTTGATTCCTTCCAGTCAGAGCACATACCTAGGATGTGGGTTTAATCCCTGGTCAGGTGTATACAGGAGGCAGATAGTCGATGTGACTCTCACATCAATGAATATCTCTCTCTCTCTCTCTCTCTCTCTTTCTCTCCCCCCTCCTCCCTCTCTAAAGTCAGTAAAATAAATAAATAATCATAGGTGTGTGCATTTAAAATTTTGCATGAATTTAAGTTCACTTTGAACTTCAGATGATAAAATGTAACTCCCATTTAGATAACTGATAATAAGTGGAGGTAAGTAGGTAAGTGGGTGTGTTTATTTTTCGAAACCAGGAGGGAGTCACTGCTGTAAATCATTCCGGAGTATGACTGGTGGGTGGGAGAAGCCATGGTCTGAATCTGTCATCAGTGTCCGCCCAGAAACATCATCACACAGACTTCAGGAGAGTATGGCCTGGAACAAAACTGGGAAAAATGGGGAGATGCTGCCAGGTGGTGGGATGATTCTTCCACATGTCTCCCCAGCCCTTCTGGAGTGAACTACAGGGTCACTTATTTCTTTCAAGAGCCACATAAATGCCAGGCAATTTCCTCTGGTCAAGAATAAACTAGCAATTTCAAACTAGTAATTACACAATTCAATTAGCAGCTTGAAAAACCAGATATGTTGCCTGGCAGCAGCATCCTTCTCTCTCCTCACCTTCCACATCCCCTGGACTATGGGCTGCCCTTTAGTGACCTTCCTAAAAAGACTGCTTAGCATAGTGGTTAAGAGGGACTTTCAGAAGCAGAACACCTGCCTACCTGGGTCCTGAATCCTGGCTCTGTAACGTACTATCTGGGATGCCTAAGCTTAGGCAAATTACTTAACCTCTTAGTTTCCTCTTCTATAAAATGGAGATGCTATTAGTACCTTATACAGTCTTGTTGGGGATTTAATGAGTTCGTATTATAGCTGGTGCCCAGAGCATAACAAACACTCCATAAATGTTACCTCTTATTTTCCTCTACCCCTTATATCCCTCTTCAGGGGTTGCTTTTAACCAGATTTTGCCAACACAAAATGTTGGGGGGAAGGGAGGGTAAAGGATCAGAGTTCAAAGTGTCTTTTGCCCTAAAACTGCCCTATCTGGTTCATCCCCCATATATACCTACTCCCTGTCCCCTCCCACTTTTGTCATAAGTTTTCTTCCAAGTTCATAAAACATCTGATATTCAGATAGGTTCTTTCTATATGGAAATAGCTCAGACATTCCAGAAACCAAGAGCTAGGATGCTCACTCAGTTTCTTAACACTGTATCTTAACATCTATCTTTTTTTTCCTTCATTGATACCATCCTCCCATTCCCGCCCCACCCCCCACCCTTGACATCTCTCTTTAATGAACAATTATTCTACCTAGTTAATTATGATTTTTCTTTTGAAGTTTTAATCAAAGGTGTCCTTGATCT